TTTCTCCTAATCTTCTGTTGCAAAAACCATTATGTCACTGTTTATCACTGAGACCCCCTATTGGCAGTCAAATGCTTTCCCACAGTATTGTTCACCTATATACCAACTTCAGTCTAGCAAGGTTATTTTCTTTGCAAAGCATAGCTGAAAGCCCATTCAACACAGTCATCACCAGCTCCATCAGACCTAATAGGTGTTTAAGCTTTTTCTTTAAGTCACAAACTAAACATATGCTTGAAGGCTTACCTGCATGTTTCAATACTAAAAACAAGTGTAACACTAGTTGATTCTTCAGAGCCTAGTGCCATGTAGCCTTGAGCACACACTGATTCCACTGAAAATGGAGCATACCAATATCTCCCCACCTTCTGGCAGAGATTTTCCATCAGGAGAAAGTCAGGTGTTGCCTACTGACTTGTAGGAAATGGAGATACTTTATGAGAGAAGAAAGCTTATTTTGTGCCTTTCCCTTTCTTTTGACATTTAAGAAAAAGGATTGGCTTTTTATGCCTGTTGTTTTCGCTTGTCTTCCCTGTTCAGTTTTGTCTTGCAGTGCTTTAAATGAAAACTTCAGGGGGCCCTGAAGAGTACTTTGAAGGCTTTGTCCGTTGGTGGTTGTTGATATGGGGGTATTGAACCTTTAGTAAACAGATTTTGTTCCTGTTAGCTTTCCAAACATTGGAACGGAATAAATATTTCCTAGAACTAACATAGTTCAGTGACTTTTAAATGGTGTGGGTGGGAGGGTGAAGGCAGGGAATGGAAGGAGTAAGCAAAAGATCACTTTCTACCTGGAAGAGCTGATTTTCATTCACTGGAGATGTAATATAGCCTCATTCTGAGCTCATCCCTAGACAGTTCTCAGGAAAAATATGTTAAAATAGGCTTGACTCACTATTCTAATATAGTCCCGGCCTTCTTTCTAAATCATAGAATGATCTAAATTGCCATTCTGTTTTGAAAACAAAATAGAAGTCCTCTGACCACCTGACCACTTTTTTCCCCTTCAGTGCTGGAATTATGTCTGTTTACACCAGAGACTGAAAATACATGTTCTAACAAAACTGATCATGGTCCATCTATTCTCCTTCAGCAGTAGACACCTCCCTCCTTCCTGTTTATCTCACTGCTGAGCTTTCCACCCCAGCCCCCTTGCCTCAGCTCAGGTAGCAGTCATCTACAGTTGTGAGGAAATGGTTATTTTACTCTGTATTTGCTTCCTCCCTTAGCACAGATATATCCTAGATGCCATATCAGGGGTGTTCCTCTCTTGCCCTACTCTTTCTGTTGGTGCCAGGTGTGAGGAAGCATCCTAGGTGTTGAATCCAGGATGGTTTCCAAGTTGCTCTTCACATTTTCAGTCTGTCAGCTTCTAATTCTGGGCTAACTCTCATACCAGAAACCTAAACTACATATTGTCATTTTTGAAGAAAACAATTGAAATTGCATAACTGTATGACTCACAATAGAAAGTATTGACTGTATATAGAAGCTGATTCTTGGAATTTGGATTCTTGGAAGCTGATACAGAAACACAAACCTGACAGTGTAGGTAGCTATATGCTAACACAACAATATAGGTTAAAAAAAAAGTCTAAAAAACAGCAGGAGGATGGAATCTGTTTTAGCCATGAGTTGGAAACAGCTTCAGATAGTGCTCTTCAACTCAAACACAGCCACTGTATGACAAGGTAGGGGACGAAACACTTTCTTAACCAGGCAAAAAACAAATTTCAACAAATGTTTTTAACAAAGGAAGACTTTCAAAACTGATAATGGGAAGTCCCAAGGAAATTAAAGACAATGGTATGACCTGGCAGTCTAGGTCAAACTAAATCCAAATTAGTCAAGCAATCCAGGTCAGACTAGGTGGGTAAATCAATTCACATACTGCCATGTTGGATTAATCACTGTCAAAAATGGTTATGAAATTCCTGAGTTAAATCTTCATGAAGGCTGAAGAAACCTATCTAACTTATTTCATTCTGGTGTGTTACATAAATGTGAACTCATAATAGGTTAATTATAATAATAATTAATTATAACCACTCAATGGAACAGTACTGAATGTCCATGTCCAGATTTTGACAGTGGGGAGGCTGCAGAGGTGGGCTCTCTGAGGGTCAGGGCTGCCCTGTGCCAGACACAAACGGTTCCATCCAGCTCCAACAGACCCACCACAGGACTCAGCTGAGCCCATCAGCCAAGCTGGTGGCACCTCTGTTAAAACATATTTAAGAAATGGAAAAAATGCTGGAAAGAGAGAGGAAGAGAGAAGAGAAGGGAAAAAAAGGGTGAGAAACAACAGAGGGAACACCAAAGTCAGAGAAGGAGGAGGCACTCCTTGGTGAAGCACCACCTGAAGGGACTGCAGCCCATTGAGGACCCACACTGAAACAGAGGAAAAGAGTGAAAAGGAAGGAGTGGCAGAGAGAAACCTCTGCAACCTGATCACAACACTCCCCTGTCCCACACTGCTGGTTGCCTCACAGAAGGGACTGAGTGTAACTTGTGGCTACAACATGGGGCAATAAATTGGCAATAAACGAAGTTAATTTTCCCCAAGTCAAGTCTGCATTGCCCATGACAGTAACTAATAAGTTATCTTCCTGTCCTTATCTTGATCCATGAGCTTTCTCACTCCTATTCTTCCATTTTCTCCCCCGTCCTGCTGTGGGGGCCAGTGAGCGAGCAGCTGGGTGGATGTTGGCTGCCAGCCGGAGCCAACCTACCACAGGAACATGCACAAATTTCATTTTGTAGAAATGTTCTTGGATAAATGATAGAATCATAGAATTGTTTAGGTTGGAAAAGACCTTTAAGATCAAGTCCAACTCTTAACCTAGCACTGCCAAGTCCACCACTAAACCATGTCCCTAAGCACCACATCTACCTGTCTTTTAAATACCTCCAGGGATGGAGACTCAACCACTTTCCTGGGCAGCCTGTTCCAATGCTTGACAACCCTTTTGGTGAAGAAATTTTTCCTAATATCCAATCTAAACCTCCCCTGGAGCAACTTGAGGCTGTTTCCTATCATCCTATCGCTTGTTACTTGGGAGAAGAGACCGACCTCCACCTCACTACAGCCTCCTTTCAGGTAGTTGTAGAGAGCAATGTATGAGAACTGCCACAGAAGTAGGAAGTGTACACCACATTTTCACTTTTTCTGCAGATCACATGGTGGACATTGTATGCAACTCCATCACTGTAGTGCAAGCACAGTTCCAAGAAGGCATATAAACAGTTTTATGTGACAGCAGAACTCACTATGAAGCCTAACTATAGTGTCAGCTATGCATGTCTTTGCCATAGCAGCAGGAAATTTTCACTTGTGTGCCTTACTAACCAGTAGATATCTTTGAATATGGACTTGTGTTTTCCCATTTTACACCACTGGTTATATTTTGCATGCTGCTATTATACAAAAAATATCACTAATAATGCACACTATCCTTGCTTTGCTTCCTATGTTATGCTATATGCAAATGCTAGCTTTACTCATAATGATGCTACTTTAAACAATCAGGTTACTTAGGCTTTTAGAAAATGTCTTGCTGTCTTTACGAGACATAAAAGACATCACATTATAATCCTCGCTTTTTGGTTTCATAATATAATGGTATCCACATTCAGCAATGCTCAATGTAAAAGATTTGTCTGTTTTTCAAGTGATGCTAAGCACACATCAACAAGCACGTATACAAAAGTGATACTGAGAACTTGAAAAGCAGATTATCTTCTTCTTCTACTAATTAATGGACAAAGAAATCCAACATTAAACACTTTTAATCAGACTATGAACTATAATTGGAGACACATAATTAAATATAGCCTAGCCCACATGTTTCAGTTGTGTGTTTCAAAGCATGGTTCTAGTGCTCTGCAAGTGCTTGGTGCTCTAAGCAGGCAGCTCAGTTGTTAACTTTTGAGGTCAGTGCCATCTCTGTCATAAGGAAAAATGGTCCCTCTCATTAAACAGTAGCAATCTACATAAAAAAAGAAGAATGCAAAGTTCAACCTGTCACCCAAGGAGGGCACTCAGCTTGCTTGAAAGGGTGCACACCTCGGCTTTGCTTCCTGAAGGAACTGTACAGTGCAGGGAGGCAGAAGCATCCTACTTGGCAAAGCAACCCCCAGGGTGCCTTGTAGTGGCTGCCGAGGGGCTCTAAGCCAAGTTGCTCAGCGTAGAGCATTGCTTCCCCACGCTTGCATCAAGCTGCCTGACCCAACCAGAGCCTGCTCCCGAGAGCCAGCTGCAAAGTGATGCACCCTGCATTTCTCAGCACTGCACCCGACTGTGCTACCTGCTGCATGTTGTGTGAGTATGAGGCAGTATGGTTTATTGCAAATAGCCATAAATTAATCTACTAACTATATTCTACTTATACAATTACACATTGCAGCATACATATTTAACAATATAAAAAGAAGCTAGTCAAACCTATGCCTCAGTTTTGAGCCATCAATACATAAAAATATTTCATGAAAGACAAAATAACAAAGATACAGATTTGCTTAAGTGGACTTTTCACAGGAGAGTTAGACACAGGAAAAGTAACAACTTCACTGTGTTTGCAAAATGATACAGTGCCTTAGCTGGGACAAATATCAAGTCTCAAACTCCCAGGCTATTTCCTTCTCTTCAGATCTCAAAAGTAACTCAAGAGTCACTTTGTATATTTGGCAGGATTACTAACAGGCTTTAATGTAAAGAAACTACAGTTAAAAATGTTTAATTCTTTATTGACACTTCCTAATTGCTTTTTGATATAGGAAATAAAATACTATATGTTTTTCAGTCCTTGCTGTAGGTAATAATGAATAGGCAAGAAAAAATATATATTTATACGTATGTGTATACATATCACAGAATTTCAGCTTGACTGCTTAGCAAAAAGGGAGAATATGTTTTACCCGCTTCCACAGATTTAGACTAGTGATCTCTGAAACAAGTGGGTTTTAGGTTTCAGAAAGCCATTTCAAACTTCTGTTCCTACCTGCCTTCGAGAAGCAATAGTGCTATTGAAACTCCTGTTAGTCATCTTGGAATTCACAGGCTTGCTTTGGTGAGCCACGTCATTCCTCCATGTCTTAGAGTTTTCTTTTGGGTCCGAAGGGATGGGGTTCAGGAACAGTATTCTAGCAATCAGGCCATAGAGGACAGTCGCCAATACCATTGGCACAACATAAAATATACCAAAGTCCATCATGTAGATAGGAGAGTAATAGCTCCTGGACACCTTGTAGCCACAGGACACAACAGTAGTGTCTTTGTAGACTACTGTATTAAGGTCTAGCAAGAAAAACCAGAGCATACAATATATGGAGGTGAAAGCCCAGACAAAAATAATGATCTTTTTGGCTCTTGAGAAAGTGCATATGAATTGAGCTTTGATTGGGTGGCAGATGGCTATGTATCTCTCAATGGTGAAGGCAGTGATGGAAAAAGAAGAAGCATTGATCCCTAGGTACTGGAGATAAGTGATGCAGAGACACCCCACGTAGCCATACACCCAGGATCTATACAGGCTTTCTGTGATATTGGGTAGTCCTGCAGCCACAAGCACCATGAGATCTGCCACAGCCAGACTCACCAGATAGCAGTTAGTGGGAGTTCTCATGTGTTTGGTTCTGAGAACCACCAAAACCACCATGATGTTGCCCACGATGCCTAGTCCACAGATGAGGAGGACCAAGAGGATGGTAACCACCTGGTATTCGGCTGTTACAATCTCCTGGCTTGATAGGGGTAGCCCAGTTTGATTCTGCTCATCTCCAGTGCCATTCTCCATCTTCACCAGCCCACTGCTTCTTCTGCCAGCACTTAGTCTCAGCACATGTTCTCCATGGTCCCCTGCAAAAGGGGGAGTGGAGCAGAGCGTGGGTGAGCTGTAGCCCCAGAGCACATTCTCCATGTAGTCACAGTCCCATTCCTGTACTGTCCTCTACTCATCCGAAAGCACCTGGACTTTTAGTCTTTGTTAATTCAATTACCAGACAGGTTAATTCCTCTAAGACTCCAGCTCATTTGCACAGATTAAAAAGCTGTTTTCTCATAGCCAGTCTGAGGCATTCATGAAAACACCGCATGTGGAGATGGGAGCTTTCCCCCCTGCAGAGGAGGAGGAGGAGGAGGAGGAGGCAGCAGCAGGGAAAGCAGAGCCCTCCTGCACTGCCAGCTGGCTACGGGACTGAGCTGATCCAGCCCAGGCAGACTTCAGCATCACCACTTTCCAGGAGGAGTCACAACGAGCCGAGGGTGGAGACAGCAGTGGGAGGTGAAAGGAGAGTGATTTGTAAAGCCCCACAGGTTTTCTACTTCATGCTGCTTTCCCTCTCTGGATGGCTATCTCACGTATCGATCATATTGATCCACCCTGGCAAACAAAAGGGAGATTGACTGGCAACAAATATATAGCAATTTCTAAAATTCTGACTTCTCCTGTGTCCCTGTCCTTGTGACAGTGATGGTAATTTACACTTGCCTCCTGCTTTGCAGGGAGCTGTAAGAGTCCCTTCAGAGCTGACAGGAAGAAACGTACTCCAACTTTTGAAAACAGCAGGAAAAATTGGGTTTCTTTACTTTACAGACAATTCTCTTCAAAACTCTCTATTGCTATTGCTGTCATCACTCCCGAGCCCTTTCAGCTCTTTTCTGGATTGTTGCACAGCAACAATAAAACCATCAGAACACAAATTGCTTCTTAATGAGATCAGTCACACACACGTGCGTGCACACACACACTCACACACAAGGAGTGTTACTAATCCACCACCATTTCCTCAATGAAGAGTCTCCTCTGGTTGAATAAACGCCTCCTTGTTCAGTCAGGTTGTGTAAAACCACAGACAAATCAAAAACTGGTAGAAATAACTGCTTTGTGATGCACTGATGAAAGACCTGCAGATGCAGTAGCAGTATTCAGGAGCCCAGCTGCACCTGGAAATGGATGCAGAGCTTTTCTGTCTCACCTGCTGCCAATTATAATACCTCAGTGAGAGAAACCATAGCAAACCCTTCTGCAGGGCTCTGTGAAAGAACCCTTGTCAACTCCCCATCACAGTGTTTCGACCCATTTTTTTTCCTTATACTGTTGTGTTAAAAGGTTGAAGATTAAATCTGCCTTAAATCTGTTTTTTTCTCCATTTACAGCAATTGTTTTTGGTCTTTGCTCAGGAAGGGTTAAAAAAAACCCCAGCTGTGCACAACCGGGGAAAAGCAACTTGGATTTCAAAACATTTTAGTGTTAAGAGAAAGGGATTAGCATAGGCACAGGGTGTAATGTTTGCAAAACTAGGATTTTAAATAGACTGAAACAACAGGTGGTGACAAAAAGAGGATACCACCTGAATCACAGCTGGAAATTAGACTCAAACAATTTCAGATATTTGAAGCCACTTGTTTAAGTTTTCCAGTCATTTTTTCCATTTGCCTGTTCACACTTCATTTGTGATCAGATGCTTTTCATCTGTAGATCCCAAAGTACTTAACAAAGTACTTAACAAAGTAAAGTAAATATCATTATTCCTATTTAACAGATGAAGAATCAGGGGTGAAAAGAATCAGATTCATTGCCAGTGGCTTAGCAGTGACCTGTGGGAAAATTCAGGTTATTGGTTACTTGACCAATGCTTTATCAACAGAACTGTATCATGAATCTTATTGAGATTCTGCTCCATGCAATCTGCAGATCCCGTTATTCTGGACACAGCTGAAAGAGGAACAAGGCCAGTCCTAGTGTGAAGCCTGTGTGTCAGAAAAAGGATTCCTCCCAGCCCCCTTCACAGTCCATAACATTTTATCCTTCAAACTGGATAGATTAGCAATCTATGCTTTTAAAGCTATGTGGCTTTAGTGTGTGTAGCCCAAGATGCTCAACCACATAGCATAAAACACACCAGGATAGAGCCCAGGAGTGAACTAGCAGAGATTTAGTGTCAGTAACCAGGGATTCAACAGCGATAAAACCCAGCAGGGAGTTGAACCGGAGTCCAAACCAGGAAACTGAGTTAGTTGACATCCTGGATAAATCCCTTAACCCTCAATTACTTCAGCTGAATCAGAAGTTTTCAGCACCTCCATAGACTCCTCTCTTTCTCTGGTGACTGATACCTTTCTGCCACGCTGTCCCACCATGAAGTCTTGTTCCATGTGTTTCCATGTATTCTGTTAGCTTATGTAGGTGACGTGGATGGTCTGAATTGGGGTTGAGGAACTGAGACAGAACACGTACGTCTGAGAGTACGCAAGTGTTTGCAGTGCCAGAAGTAATGGCTGAGGACATGGGATGCAGAGAAGCTGGAGAATATTTGAAAGCCCACATGACTTTGAAGTGAATATGGGAAGTCTGGAAGATGTGCAAGAAATGTATTATCTGATGCTTGCGTCATTCTCCTGCATCTGCTATCTTTTGCATCTGCTACTGATATGTATCAGAGATGGGATAGACCACCTTCTCTCAGCCAGTAGTTCACTTTTTATGGCTTTTTGCCAAGTGTTGCATTCCGGTAAAGAAAAAAGTATAGAGTTGTCACTGGGTAGCTATAGGTAAGTATGTCTACAGGAGGCATTCAGAGGATTTTGATAGTATTGATTAACATTCTCTATGGAGCATTTCCCTTTTCCTCCTATACAGTACTTCCCCAACCTACAATGTTTCTGTAAAATCTACAGTAATTGCAGAAGGAATTTCAAGACTGTAAATATATGTTCTATGTAATTAAAGCATCTGGTGTAATGGATTTGGCACAAACATCATGTGATGAACATTACCTGGTACATTAAAATTATCCTTTTAACATGATCATCAGTCAAAGGTCATATACTGAATCCAGGAGTCAGTAAAAGATCAGCTTTTTCTCCCAGTTAATGTTGTGTTAATGCAACCATCAAAATACACGGGCTAGTTTCAAAAGCAGTTCGGCATTAATACATGCAAGCCCACCAGCTGTGCCAGGGAAATTTTGACAGCAGATGGACCAGAGATCACTGTGAAACTTTTACTGCATATCTGTTTCTCCATTTTATATACATACCTGTTGGTCCAGGCATCAATTGACATTACATGCACAAATGAGTACAGATGCAGTTAGCAAGTCCACAACAACAGGCAGAAAAACAAGGCCCTGAAATGTACTGACTTTTGCTAGCACAGTTCTGTTGGTACAACCCTTTGGGTAGGAGGGAGATGGGGAGGCATCGTGTTGATACACCCTGTGCTGTATACCACTTAGCCAACAATATTCTTGTCCAATTTTTTTCCCATTTGTCTCAATTAAAATGTGTCTCTGCTCACTTGAGGGACACCAAACCTATAACAAACTGTCTCATAACATTAAGCACACACTGAGATGGTACAATGAATCACTATAAACACTTTACCCCACTAGCTATAAATTATTCTTAATTCAGTTTCTCTAACTCAGATCGCTTCCCCAGCTGGCCTTTTCTGTTCTGAAACAGAGCTCTGCGAAAATGGCAATTTCATACTCTATTACCTGTCTGTACTCAGGGTTCATAAAAAATCATAAGTAACGCAGATTCTTTACTCTGTGTGCACCCCTGAGGGAGCACCAGGCACTTACTGCTGTACAAATGTCTCCAAGGCTGCAGTTTGTAGAGAACAAAAGTCACCATCAGTGATGTAACTTCAGTACCATCCAAAGGCTGGCTTAAAGTTGGTAACTAGCTACTGGCGCGATCAGCTCCAAATGTGTTTTGTATTTACACTTGACATGGTTAAATATGGTAGTAGCTGTGGTCAACTAGAATTTATTCTCCTACATCTGCTGCACCACATATCTGTGGTTTTGTGCTAGTGTAGTGAGCCTGTGGCAAAAAGTGCTTGGTTTGTGGGACAAATCTGCACCTGGAAAAGCCTTTTATGAGTAAAGATTGTGAGAGGACCAAACACCTTTTCTGTGAGATAAATCTCATTACCAAAGGCAGCGATCCTTCTTTCTAACAATTTTTTTGCTGTCTGTCACTGAAGAGTACCTCCACTGAAGTACAGCTAAAATCCTGGGTGAGTTTTCCAAAAGTGCCTAAGTGATTTAGGACTTACGGATGACTTGGGGATCCTACGTGTGTCTGACAAATTCTATTTGATTTAAGGGCTTTTAATCTGCACGACAGTGCAAATTCTGTTTCAAAGGTGAGGTTTTTTTGTATCAGTCATCTTTGTTTTCTTTTAATCTTTGTGTCGGACTGGTGTTGGCTGTTAGCTCAAGGCAGGTAATAAGGAATTTTATCTTAATTATTCTGAAAAAACAATTGTCACAAAAAGTAAGAAAAATGGATTTAAGCAATCAATTGGCTTACATGGGAAATTCCGTTTATCTATTGCCTGTCAACAAGGTCACTGGATACTGTGGTCTGTTGAGACAGATCTGGGATCATGTGGCAAAGGAGACTGGAAGGACTTTAAAGAGGTCTACTCTTTTCTTCACTAATTTCTATCAACTCAGGCAGAGAGAAACTGTTACAAGAACCTGATCAAGCAGAAGGAACTTTTCCAGAATAAATGTAGAGATCACACAAAAGAATGGGTGGGGAACACTGCTTTCACAAAGTTTTTGATTTGCTGAATTATCTGCATTCACTTGGACTTTACTTTCCAAGATACTATCAACTAAGTCAAAATCATCACAGAAAAGTGATCTGAAGAAAGAGGGGTGGAGTTCAATAGCAGCAAACACAAAGTGGTATGCTTTGGCAGGAGCAAGCAGGTACACAATTCCAGTGTGGAATAACTGGCAGGAGAACAATTCTGTAGAAGCAGCTCATCTGATT